CCCACGACACCATGCAGTTTATATCAGCCAGCTCAGCTGTTTTATCTCCCTCTGATGTCATTGCAGAGAGGATTACCTGGACAAAGAGAACCCCAAGGTTTCTCTGAAACACCTTTTCTTCTACGTGAATATTTTTCTCCCGTTTGGCTCTAAAGAGGATTTAGGAAGAACTGCACCACACAGTAGTTAAAATGGACATGTGAATGTCTACTATGTATCAATAAATCCATGTAAACCTGAGTTGTAAGACATACAGACAGCTGTACTAGTTGAAAACAAATGATCTTGTGTGATAAAAGATAAACACAGAAGACTGTAATAGGAGAGTAATCAACACTTCCTCAGGTGTCCTCTCCCAAGTCCCAGCAATTTCCAGCTCAGGGACTTCAAGTCAGATGTTGTCTTTTTTAAACATCCCTTGGCAGATTTTTCATGTCTGGATTTCCTCCAGCTTCCTTTAGAGATGTAAGAATGATCCAGGAGGAAATAGAGTAAATTAATTTTCCCAATATTTATTTCTGTTGTCACCAAAAAGACCAGCCCTGGACTCATCCTTACCCCCCACAGAAGTCAGCCCATGCAAGGCTGCTGAGGAAGAGCCTGTTGGCTCCATTGGCTTACAGACATGAGTTTTGTGTCCCTTCCTTACTGCTGAACATGAAACACATCTGAATGTCCCTCCTGAGAGTCCATAGCCACCTAAACCACCCTCATGGGAACATTTAGCTTTAAGCTCCCAAGACTTGGAGAAATCAGAGGCCAGAATGCCCTTTCAGAGAAGAGAAAAAACCCAAACCTTTAAATAGAAGAACCTTGAACACAATAACTGTTTAAAAATACATTTACCTCTGTTTAAAAATACATTTACCTCTTATTAAAATGGAAAAGTCAAGTACAGCATCAACGTTGGGATTGTACAATTTGTAAAAGCAGGAGGACAGATATGGATGTGTAGCAGCCTTCAGAGCACAGACAACAGCTGTCCTAAAACCAGTACAGAGCCACTGTATTTTATCCTTCCTACTGCCCTTGTCTGTAGCATATATTGAAATATTGAAGGATTCATTTGCTAGGAAATTTGCCTTCTAAAAATTTTTCTGTCAATTCCTGAATAACATACGTGAGTTTTCAATATAGCTTGTATTATTGTTAGCTTGCAATATATGCACATGTAAACAATGTAAACAAAACATTTAAAAGGCATCTCACAGTGAGCAACAAATTATGCATCAAGCATTTATTATCTAGTGTTTATTCCTCTGTAGGCTGGAGGGAAAAAAATTTGGCTCATGCCTAGAAAAAAAAGATATTCTGAACCCACTGAGAATAATTCAAATTGCATTTTATAAGAAGAAATTATGGATACAAGAGACCATCTGTCTTTGGTTTTTTAAATGCTGCCTTTCAAAATGTAAGATCCTTAGCCAGAGTCTATTTTTTATTTAAAAATAATTATTGTGTTTTACTAAAAACTGAATGAGTTTTTAGTAGGAAAAAAACTTCTTCTCATGCTTCTTCTAAGATAGACAGGGACAGAAGGGGACTGGCACATTTGTGTGTAAATCAGGAGCAACTTTATCAAAGATGTTATTAATTTGGGAAGAATGCGGGAAAAAAAAATTAAAAATCAGAGAACAAAACATTTGGATTTTTGAAGCAACCTATGCTACAGCACCTCGCCACAGACTGACCCTGACAAAGTTCAGTGTGGTTTCCCAATGTTTGAGGGTAGAAGGTCTCTGTAACTAAAGTCAAATCTTCTAAGATGACAATATTGCTCTGGCCCTTCCCTTTGACCAAAACTTTTAAATCTTATTCTGCAGCTTTGAGACCACCTTGCCAACTCAGAGGAGTTCTAGTGAGAAGCTGCCAACACTTCTCTTCCCAAACCTTGGAAAAAGATACACAGCTGTAGCACAAATATCAGCACGTGAGAAACCCACACAGACTTGAGAGGAAAGGGATGGAAATTCTGATTACAGGGAGGTAAAGGTGCTGTACCTGCTGTGCAAGGGGCTTTCCAGGAGACCTAGGCAGCCTCTGCTCTTCACTGGTATAAACGTGTGTGGATGCTGAATATCAATTACAAATCAACAATAGAACATGCAGAATTTCTAAAATATAAATTTGGTTTACATGGAAGACCTTGTCAGAACTTTTTTACCTCTTTGTAATCGAATCGTGACACCACTGAGGTTTTCTTCACTGCTGTCCCAGATTGGCTATCACTTCTCTCCAAAACAATCTCCTTTTGGCTGTCTTTGCTTTTCAATCTCAAACAGTTGAGTAAAGAACCTAAAAATGCAGATTATCAGAGGAACACAGACAGTGTTGCCTTTCATCTAGTCCATCCTATGCTTACAGCACACTTGCCATATTTATCTGAGGACCAAAATAAGAGCCCATATCTAGCCATATTCTCCTTGTTGTCACCTCAGAATTAGTCAGGTCACATGAAGACATCACTGAAATAAATTGTCTTACTGGGCAATTGGCTCTTCCCATGCTCAGTCACAGTCAGGACAGGAGAGTCTGATTGCTTGGATTAAAGGTGGGATTTCCCACAGAGATCTAAAAAGGCAGCAACACCCACCACAAATTTACTACAGTTATGATTCAGGATCTTGCCACCAACGTCTTGGAATGTCTGGATATTTTAGCAGAGACATTCCAGAGGGCATACACTGTCAGAAATATCCAAAGGATTTCCACTAGCCAAGAAAAAGGAAGAAAATACATATTTCAATTTTGAAATTGATCTCCTTACTCCACCAGTGTAAGGCTGGCCAGGAGAGAAGGATTCTTGATGGTACTTTAGGAGAAATGGAAGTTCAACTTGAAATGAAGCAGCTAATTTATTGCTAATGTCTGCTAATGATAGCAGCAAAATTGTGTGTTTATTGCAAACATTTAAAACTTTGAGGGCAGAAATTTACAAAGGTGAGAGTCAATAGTGCCTTCATAAAGCTGGAAAGTAAAAAGACATAAATAAATATTAATGTTATGTTTAAAGGGAAAAAAACAAAGTTATACTAATTCAGATGTAGAATAAGAAATACAGCAATTGAAAAATAATTAGGATAAAAAGTGTGGCAGTTTAGTGGGATTGATTTGCTCTTTGAAAGTCAATAATAAAAAATCACTGCTTTGAAAAGGAAGGACAGGTTCACTAAAAGTCAGATGCACGTTACTTTTATTTCAAAAAGCATAAAAATAATGAGGAAAAGTTGAAAGCTAGGGGTGTACTTTGGGGGAATATGTCTTACCCTAGACATTAAATGGGAATAAACACATGCTTTCAAATTAGGACTTTTAGAAACCTGAGATACATATTATATATCTCTTGGAAAAGGGACAGTGATTTTATAGCTCTTCCTTTAAATTTAGATCTTTGGTATTTTCAAGTATTGAATATACCATCAGCAAAGGTTAGGAGCAGTGTGCCAGCTTTACTAATATCATCCATTTCTATCTGATCAAGCCAGTAACAGATTGGACACAGATTGATCAGGATAAATTTGTATGGAGTTCAGCTCTCCCTGGAAGAAAGCACTACGTGACGTTAAACATGGTCTCATGGTATTGGGAAAAAATTATGAAAACAGAACAGAAAAGCAGAGAAATGCCTTGAGACAGAATTTGTAAATGAAGTGATAAAAATGGTGCAGGAATTGCCCTAACACCTAGCACTGACCCTTTGGGCACATTGCTCCCAGGGAGGGCACTTCTGGATTGATTACTGCAGGATAGCTGGACATGGACCCAATATTATTGCCCAGAAAATCATCCCAGCCCTTAATAATGTCAGCAAAGGAGACATGAGGACATGACATGCTCCTTTTGGTATGAGCCTCCTCTCAGAGCACAGTGGGGATTTGGACTGAGGGTTTAATTTAGTGCCAGCTTGCACACAGCTCTCCCTAATAACCATCCAAGTGACCAGAGCATCCCAGGACGGTGCCTCTTTAATTATAAAAGATGCTTTTCCAAAGACAAAAGAACTACTACCACCCACCCATTCCAAAATCCAAAACAGACTAGAATCTTGGAGGATTTACAACAAAATAAAACCGTAACTCATTTTTAGCAGATCAGCGCTCTATCTTTTCAAGCTTTGTGTAGCAGCACATCATTCACTTCACCTTAATTTCACTATTATATTATAGCTTGCACCACTGTAATTGTCTCTCTGAAAACAAATCCCAAAAAGATTCACAAAGGCATCTCACTACCCAGTGTACTGACTGTGCTTATTGATGTGAGTGGTAGAATAATTGACATGAGAGCTATCAAGATATTCTACAGCCAATTTGTAATCTGTTTTCATGGTAGAGAGAGCAAACATTTTCATGAAAGAAGGCCAACTTATTTGACTGTATGGATTTTTAAGTTGGGGTCTGACAACTTTCCTTTTTGAAATGAAGAAAAATGCAGACCTCAAAAAAAAAAAAAAAAAAAACAAAAAAACAAAAAAAAAACCCCAAACAACCCAAAAAACAAAGGGGACAGAAAAAAAAACCCTCACAGCCTCTGTTTCTCTGTGGAAGATGTGGAGAACTACACTTTACACTGCAGTCACAAGTGTGCAGACCTGTTCCTCATGCACAGCATACACAAAACAGCATTTCAGGTGATTGAATGGAAAAGTGCACAGGCTCACTCAATATACTCTTTCCTTTAACCACAGAATTTACTGCTTGTAGCAACAGCTAAGAGAAAAAATTGAATTGTGGTTTTTACTGAAGTGCACCGCTAACCAACAGCTCTGCTGTAAGAAAAACTGATTACATAAAGCCATAAAGCATTGCAGCATAACAATATACATAATTAAGAAATTAAAAGGTAGTTAGGAAATCTCACCAAGACTTTGGTGGAATTAAGATAAACTCTTAAAAATTGAGGAGCCAGCACTGAGACTGGAACAGCTTTCAGAGGGAGGGCAGTATGTAGGGTTGGGTAATTGTAAGGCAATACTCATCCATAACTCAGGAAATGTTTTTGGTGAGCCTCATGGGGCAGAGACAGCTCCTTCCACCCTCAGGCCACAGCTTCAAATTTCACACACTAGTCGCAATAACCATAAAGGACACTGTTAAAAAAAAAAAAAAAGTTAAAATAAAAAGAAGCAGCTCTATTTTCCCACCTCATATATTCCTGCAGTAACTCCCACATTCTGAAGGCATGGAAGAAATGGTAAAAATGGGTAAAAAAATAATGTAACACAGGTAATGACAACTTACTCCTTAACTAAGCACTAACATTTCCCTGCAGCCCCATGAGAGGCTGGCAACACCTGTGCAAGTTACACATCAAAACTTGGATAAAATCACCACGTGTTTGGTCCCTAGAAGGAAAAGTCACCTTTTGAGAAAGGCAGCAGCTCTTGCTTTATTGTGGTGGGTCTTTTTGATGCTGGTAAACAGAACATGAAAAATACTCCAGCAAGGCAAATCTGCTGAAGGTGCAGACTAAACTCCTGTTGTCTGCGTGGCACTTGGGGTGGTGTTTGTAACCAGATACTGTGGAAACACAAGTGAACCTGACCTTGCCCTTATCTTTGGACTTGCAAAATGATCTCTGCTGGAAACTTCCTCACATTTCCTTTCATGTGCCAGATCAAGACTGAGACCAATCAGATAAAGCAGCGTGCCTTGAAGGCTCCACTCGCAGCTGTCCAGACAGTTAACCTTAGCCATGGAAGGAAAAAAATAATCAAACAATCTGTTTTCTTTGCAGCCCTACAACTGCTGCATCACATGATGTGACACTGATTTCCCTGCAGTGTATACTTTGAAGCTGACAAGTGTTAAGCTGTGATTAAAAATTCCAAATGGATGTAAGTACCTGTCACTCAGAGGGGTCCCTCAGTTGCACTGGTGACCACAGGAACACAGCCAGGAATCCACCAGCCCATTTGTGTAGGAGGAAGATGCTGCAGAGACTTCATTACAGGGTGCATCAGTTAACTCAGCAGATACAGACTTGACTCACAATCAGCCTAAAAGAAAAGCAGGCAGTTATTTTATTATCTTTAGGATCAAGGATTATATGGTAGAAAAAAAAAAAAACCAACACCCAACCAAACAAACCCAAACAGTGAAACCCCCTAAAATCACCATAGGAAATTTTGACCTGCTCCCAGAACTCACAGGTCTATTTTGATCAGTTTTATTACCTGGTTCAGGAAAATAGCTGCTTTATCAGCTAGTTTTCATTTCTCCATGAAAAACCTCTACCAAAATACACTAATTATAGTAAACAAACAAGAAGTGTAATTGGATGACTTCAGTACCTGCAGGGGAATTGTGCCTTTTGAAGTAACCTCATGTCAGACAGAAACGACAGCTCCTTCTAGACAGTATTTCTTTCATAACTATGCTACAACTAATTGTAAATACTTTGAATATGCACTTACAATTAAACAAATATCTTGTGTCTTGTTAGCAGGACACAAGATTGAGCTATTTTAGCTTCTTTGATGAATCACTCATTCTAAAACTTTATTAGAGAATGAATGTTTTTTAAGTAAAATGCAGCTGAACTGTAGAGATTATTAAAGTGTATTAAACAGACATTCTAAACATTAAACACCAAGTGAACACACTAAGTAGGAACACTACAGATGATTTAAATCAAGAACCAAAAGCTAGAAAGTTAATAGAAACATTCAAAACATTTTCAATAATAGTTACAGCAAATACTCAAAACAGTTGTTTAGTCTAGATTAAATCCTTATTTGGGACATAGTAGACCAAAAATGCCTTCTGATGTTCATGTGCTGGCTTTCTTTCATAGAGGAACAGGAGGAATGTGGGAGAGTAACAATGACATTTTCCTCTTAAACACTCACTGGTATGAGTAATTTTACCACATGAAGACTCCTGTTGAGTTTACCAGGACTATTCTTTTAAGGAGTTCCTCGTGGGCATTATTGTTCACAGGTTCTAAGCCGTTAGAAGCTATTAACTCTGCTCCATGGTAATAACATTATTTGCATATTAATTCTCAATGAACTATCCCAGTCATTAAGAGTAAGGAAGTAATTAACCCTTTTAATTGGACAATATATTTTGCAAGAGTACAGTTATTTAAATTATAGTTTGTCAAAGCTCTTAATCAAGCAAGAATTTGACAAAAAGCAAATCAGAAGTTTGAAAGTCACCTCCTTTTTTTTCAAAATTTTTCCCCTGCAAACTGACCCAAAAGAAAAAGGGGAAAAGTCCCTAACACAGGAAACATCTATAAATTACAAACACCCTTCTGATTATGCTGCAGAAAATTCAAGTTCAAAACAGTTCATTTTCCCTTTCCCATACCAATAATGTTACAAAACATATTCTTTCCCTTGTTTTGGCTTAAAAAATTCCACATGAATTTTGATGAAAACTGGAGCTAAATAGTATAGCGTTTTACTCTTAAATTTGTAGAAAAAAACCCCAGTGCTTTCCACTGTCGTAGCTTTTTTCTTTTGTCATTATAAATACCCACAGTAACGTGGGCACAGGTCTCTCTGCAGAGGATCTCTGGGTAGTGTGTGTGCTGGTGAATTCCAGGATGCTTCTGCAGCAGTGGAGGAAAAAAAACAACAAAAACCTCCTTGTAATCACACAGACCTCAGGGCCCTCCAGGCTGAGAGATTTTCCCTTCCCCACACCCCTGTTCATTAAACTGGGAGAAGTCAATGTTAGCATGGGATGCCTCTTTGGATTCCAGTGTCCCTGTGCCATCACTGCAGCTGTTTCCAAACCAGGAGGAGGGATGACCTGGAACTCCAGCAGAGAGGACAGGATGGACTCAGAGTTGTCCTGTTTGCACATCCACCTATTCTAACTTCTCTTGCCTTTGCCCATCTTGTTTTTTGCCACTGAAAGTGATAGTTGTCCCACCCAAGAGCAATGGGCTCTAACATACAGGGTTATATCCATTAAAGACTACACAGGACAAGAAATTAATATCTTGTTAGAAACATGACACTGATACATGGGCATTATAATCACTGAAAGATTTAAGGGGACATGATTATAGTAATTTATCTCTTGATGTGATTACAGTAATTTGTGTCTATTAAAATTAACACACATTTTAAATCTCCTACATGTTAACTTTTTTAAGGAAATGATATGCTTCAATTTAGTGATATGAAATTCACCTCAAGCACACTACTTATTTCTTTTCAATTTTGTTGCAAAGCTGTAACACAACCACAAAACAAAAAGTACCAGATACAGAAGGATTAAGTTACCTCAGTGGGATCAGAATGAAATTGTGAGTATTTCTGGCAGTTCTGGTGAAAATTTTTTCTCTGTTGAAGGCTATTCTGCATAAGTGACATAACTGTTCTCTTCCCTTGACATCACCTGTCATAAACATTGCACTAAAGGGACAAATCAATATACCTTCAGTCCATATCAGCATTTCCCTTGTCAGATTTTGCTTGTATGCCATTCAGATACATCCACATTTCCAAACTACAAGGGAGAGAGGATTTCTGATGAATAAACATATGGAGCAATTAAAATTAATGCCCATGGTGGTACCTTGCTAGGATAATAATAGATAAGCAATAACAGATAAGCAGTCCTCATTCTTTGTGTGTTCAGAGGAATTTCAAACCAAGAATCACCTCAGCATCAGGTAGCAGATGGGCTGTTGCTGTTTTACAGCTGAGGAAGGCAAGTGGCAGCAACAGAGGCATTAGGAAGGAGGGTGAAATAGTTACAGGGACAAAATAAGAGTAAGCACAGCTTTTCAGACATTAAAATGGAGCTCTCAAGAGGCTTCTTTTCCTTCTTCTCTCTCCTGTCTCCTGGTGACATGAGGGGTCTCCAAGCTGACACATAACTATGCTAAAAAACTGGGGAAAGAGTGGTGATCAACTCTTCAGTTGGTAAGTTTTACCCAGCTGGGATTCAGCTGTTAGTGCTGTCCAAGAACTTTCTCCTGGATTTGAATTCTGATTCCTACCTTTGGAGAAGGATGTGTGTGCAAGCACTTGGGTTAGATGGTGATGATAATGAAAGAAAATAACTAACAAACCCCAGAAGGAAGTTAGATGACGAGATCACAAACAGTGCTGAAGCAAAGTGAATTTGGCAGAGGAGAAACGAGAGGGGAAGAAAAATAGCACCAAATTCAAATTATCCCATGTCAGCACAACCCAGAGCTCTCCCTTCCTTCCCAGGTCTCACAATAAATGCTATTGATTGTCCCTAACTTCTAGCAGATTTCAGGCAGAGGAGAATCAGGTTCCAAGAAAACAAATCAAGTGCCACAACTGTGATACCTATTTCTGTCTCCTTTCCCTCTTGGGTCTTCCTGGGCAGGACTGAATTCCATCAATTTCCCATTAATCATCATTTTAATGTCCTACATTTACAGTAGCAAGCCAGAGCTAGCAGCACTTTTCCTTGTATCCTAAACTGGCGTAGTTTCAAAACGTTGTGCCATAATTTCACAAAGCAGGCTGGGGACACACTAAATTTGTATCTACAGTTGGCAGCAGTTTATACCAATGAGGCACTGTGTCAGAATGCTAAAATAGTTTTTAAAAATCCAGGAAAATGTTGTGTATAGCACACCGTCCAGTAGCTGGTTTCAAGCAACCCATTTGTAGCAGTGTTACATTCCTGTCTCATAAGAACCAAACAACTGAGCTTTGTTATGGGCTGACTTAACATCAGGAACGTCTGTATTTTTCTACAAAAAATACATTTTTATACAAAAAATCTCCTCTGAATCAAAAGAGTATTTGATTCCAGATACAACATTTAAATAAATGTACAGAACTACTAAAACCAATTAGAGAAATTATGTGAGGACATGCAAGGAGGAAAGGTCAGGAGTTAGTCTGTATTAAAATTCATTACAAATTGGCTGCTCTTTTAATTTAAAAACCAAAGCTTTTCATTTGTCAATTTGATAAAACGCATGTTTAAAAAAACCCACTCTCACCAGGTATTGCTTTTTATGGCTCACTTTGTACCACAAAAGACAAGGGATTTATATAATTATTTTGGACACTTTCAAGTACTTCCTAAAATGCTTTAATAAATTGTTAAAAAATCAGGTTAGCCCCTTTAGAAGAAAGAGCAGATAACCCAGGTATTGATGAATTTCCAGATATTGGTTCAACATCAAATACTCCACCTTTCTTTGCAAAGAATGTCCATGTTATTTTCTGTGTTTCCAGCTTCCCAGCTTCCCCTGATTCATCTTAGAATTTTGTGCTACTCTGTTGACATTATGTATGAAGGTAATACTTCCCCCAAAGAAGAAAATTTGATTTCTTATGATGTATAAAGTAACAAGAAGAAAGAATGGACCTAAACTAATAACAGAGGATTTAATCACCGTAAATGAAGCAAATATTATGGAACACATTTTACAAACAGGTAAATTGAACTGAATTGAGCAAGGTGATGGAACAAAGTAGCAGCACACTTGGAAATCAAAGCAAGAAATGTGATTTCATTACTTATTTGAAGTCAGGCCATTGGATATAAGCAGCACATGTGAGACACTCCCCACTTCATGCCTTCCCCACACAGCAGATATTTCTGGCAGAGACAGAGGCTTGTTGCTGTCCAGAGCCTGACTTCTTGTGTTGGCAGCTGACATTAAGCAAAGTCACCCCTCTTGCTGGAAATAACATGCAACAGAAAAAGGGCCATACAAACTATAGATTAGCCTTGCTCCAACCATGTGAAAGAAAAATGTTGTACTACCTAGATGAAAGAACATGCCTGTATGGTGAGAACTAATCCAGCAAAGAAGCTGCTTTGACTGGTTTTCTATTTTGTCAGCTGTTCAGCTATTGAAGGGCTGTACTGTAGTACGTCACAGAATTTTAGTCGTCAAAATAAACAAGCACAAGAAGCCTGCAATACTGGGATAAATATTTTCTTCCCTTTTACTCTTTTAAACAACTGATCACTGATATTTCTTGAAATAGCAACATACAGCATAAGACAAGAAATTACCTCAAGCTTCATATTTTTCAATATGTCTTCCCTTCCCAACTCTCCCAACTCTTCTGTACAGAATCACAAATTCATTATTCCATGAGCCTTTTCCACTGCCACTTACACCATGAGACCAGTCAATGACAACAGCCTCACCATGCCAATGACAGTAAAAGGTACAAAGTCTGTCTCTGAAAGAATGACTGACTAAACAATGACAAAGACAGAAAAAAATTTCTATGGAGTTGCATTCACTTTCCCCCAAAAATCCACATCAGAAGGAAGGAAGGAAGACAGCTTGACTGGATACACTAAGGAATGCATTTAAATTTAAATTAAAACCTGATTATTGTCATAATGCATTTGTATTTAGGAAGCCAAATGATTAACTGAAGAGAAAGTTAAAAGAAATGAAGCATGGCCTACAATAGAATTGTGGAGGCAGCATTCTTTAGTTGACCAGAAATGCAGCTATCTCTATGTAAAACTGTTGTAGGTTTTGTTTGATTGGGTTTTTCTTGGTTGTGTTTGGTTGTGTTTTAGTTTTCAAAAGATTTAACCTCTTGAATGGTATGTGAAAAGGAATTTCAGTGCAAATCATTTTCTGTAGCTTAATAAAAAATACATCCTTAATAATGCAGAATGTGTTTAATTTATTTTGAATATATAATGATGCAAATGCAGACAAAAAAATGGTTGTGCTTCTGCAGGTAGAAGGGGAACCAGCTACTGTCACAGTAACAGAATTTCTTGTACAGATTTCATCAGCATTTCTAATCTATCTGCAGCTGCCTGAGCAGGTGGAATGCTGGAATGATTGAAAGAAGAGCAGTATTAGCTTTGCAGTGCTATGTCTATAGATGTGAAATTCAGACATTTTCTCTGGTAATTTACATGTGTCTGTATCATCACCAGTGATGCTACTAACATTTTGACTAAACCAATGATACATGTGTCAGTGTTGTGCTAATATTATCTTTTATTAAAATAGTATCAGCCATTCATTCATTCACTTGGGAATTTTTTTTAATGTTCTGTTTTTTGGGGTTTTTTTTTTGGTTTTTTTGTTTTGTTCTTTTAAGGAGCCTATGGACATTTATATAATATATAAAAAAATAAATAATAAAGAAACAGCTTGGACATTTATATAATGAATTCCACTTCCAAGTGAGGCTGACCAATACTTTTCCCTGTCACTGCAAATGAGAAATAGGAACTCAAATCAGAACTCAGTCTCCAGAAAGATGAAAGATGAAATGACCAAGTACTAAAAGCCTGAAGGTGAAAAGTAATTGGCATGACAGCTTTTGGGATGTATATAAAATATACTGAAAGGGTCAAATAGCATACGAATTTCTAGTTGCTGTGATAACAAACAACCATTATATAATTTTCACCCAAAAATTGACTTCTTTGATGGAATCATGAGCAGTTGTCATGATTTTCTTACTTTCTACCTTTATACTAATGAACATATCACAATACACCGACATATCTATGTTTTATGATATATTATAAACTCCCTAGATTTTGTTGGAAGAGGCTGAGAAAAACCATGTCACAAGAAAGAGTGGAGAGGACTGGAAACAGATCACATTCTCGTTCCAAGTAGCAGAAGTGTTTTGTGAGCCAAGGGTGTCATTCACATTGAGACAGACCATGCTTACCTAAAATATTGCCAAGTTGGTGGCGATTCAGTGCTTCTAGCCTCCCCCAGAGACAGCCTGGCTCAGCAATGTGCTACCTGAGAAGAAATCCAAATTGAAGATGTTTCATCGAAGCCAACACAGCAGCCAAGACTCCAGAAGGGCTCTCCTCACTGCAGTCCTTTGGGACCAACATTCGGGTGGGTGAGCACACTGTGTCTTAGCCATACAATCTGGGAAGGAGGAGACAGCAGAAAGATTCATGAGGTAGAAAAGCAGCAGCTCAACGCTGCTCAGAAATCGGCACAGATTTCTCAGCATCAGGCATGAGGATAGCAGCATTGCAGGCAGTAAAAGCACCAAGACAGAGCTACAATGGAAGGCGCAAAGACAGTGGTCAAAAAACATCATTTCATTGGATGGAAGCTGTCAAACATTCCTCTCTAAAATCACACAATTCTGCATCCCTCACCTGTGTGTTTGACTGTGTGTCCTGCCTTGCCTGTGAGACTCAAGGCTTACTAGATTTTTGTATCAAACATTCTTGTCTTTTAAACCAGCAGGAAATGGTCTACAACATGGAGACTAGAATTTTAACATCAGCACTGTGTGCAGATTTTCTGACTGCAATGTAAGACATTGGGCTCTTAGAGAGTATCCAAAGGACTGTAAGGAAGGTGGTGAAGGAGGTGAAGCCATGTGAGGAGAAGCTGAGGTCACTTGGTTTGTTCAGCCTGGACAAGAGGAGCCTGCAGGGAGACCTCAGTGCAGTCACAACTTCCTTGTGAGGGGAAGAGGAGGGACAGGCACTGATCTCTGCTCTCAGGTAACCAGGGACAGGACCCAAGGGAGTGGTCTGAATCTGTGCCAGGGGAAGTTTAGGTTGGATATGAGAGAGATGTTCTTCACCCAGAGGGTGGTTGGGCACTGGACAGGCTCCCCAGGGAAGTGGTCAGAGCACCAGCCTGACAGAGCTCCAGAAGTGTTTGGACCGTGGTCCCAGGCACGTGGTGTGGTCCTGTGCAGGGCCAGCAGCTGGGCTGGATGAGCCTTGTGGGTCCCTTCCAACTTAGCAGATCCTCTGATTCTGTGATAAATGAAAGACATTGATTTATCAATATTTGACCAGTAAATAAAAAAGAGCTCCAGAAGTTTTTGGGGTTTTTTTGGGGTTTTGTTTGTTTGTTTGGTTGGTTGGTTTTTGGGGTTTTTTTTGTTTTTTTAATAAAAATTGGCAAGTGGAAATGAAAAATTCATCATCCAGGTATTTCTGGATTAGGCAAGTCCAATAAAGTTAGTAACCATCCCTTTTCCTGTACTTTCTGCCAGGGGTTGCTCCAGACATTTGCTGTTGGGTAAAGACCCCCTTTCAATGGGTCAGTGCTCACTCACTCCCACGTGCTCTTCCAGATCCTCTTCCTCTTTCCACATGTTCATATTTTCTTTCACTGACTTGGAAAGTGCAGCTTCATTCTACCTTAAAAGATGAAGAAAACAAAGGGATGCTGTTCACACATCACATCTCAGCAACTCCCCTGGATATTGTGGTTTGGACTTCCATGGTGGACCCAGGAACACTGTGTGGGCAGAATTTGATTTCCTTGTTTGTGTGTTGAAATAAATTGCTCTTCTCTGCAAGAAAGGAGACTGGTATATTTTTTATGTGAACAAGCAACCCTAGGAACCTCAGTCAACCTGGGAAACCTAGTAATATCTCTGAAATTCTATGATGATAAAGGTTAAATCCAGCAGCCTCTGTAGTGATGATACAGGGCAAAAACTAAATAATAAAGCCCTAAACTTATCCTCCTTTTCCTTTACTAAACTTGTCCTCCTTTTCCTTTACTGTCAAATTCTTCTAGGACATTTTGTCCACCTGCTTGAAAAAAATTCTCCACTATCAATGAATATGTTACAGTTCAAGAATAGTTACTCTTCAGTTAAGTGTCATTAATGTTATATAATTACAATGCAATCCTCTGATTTCCACTGCCCCCAAGAAAGGACAATAAAAAGCGTGTAGAAAGATAATGAAACAAACTTATCTTTAAAAAAAAAATTCACAATTTTAATAATATTATTTCATCCTTGGCAATGATTTTCCTCCAACTTTTTAACAAAAAGCAGAAGTGTTATAGATTATATATGGAAAAAATCATCAGTGCCAGATGAAAAGGGTTCTGGGTAAGTAGCACTCCCAGTTTAGCAAATTGTAAAGGCCCAGAGTTGTTCGAAGCTGAGACCCCACAGACAAAAAACTGCCTTCCAGTGCCAGCATTAGCCCATCTCCTCCTGCCCTGGCTGCCCTTTCTGGGGCTATTTCTGTAAATTTAACAAGATATTCGATTGCCAGGATCAACAGTCAGAATGCTTCAGGTCCTGACATCTACTAAGAGAACCATTTGGGCACAAACTTTCATCATTTCAGATGTTTTGACCATGAAGTCATGGGCAGCATCACCCTGGGAGTTCTATTTATAGCTCTTGTGCTTCACTGTAAGGTCTTGAATTAAAGGTAAAAGATTACTTCACTTCTTTTATACACAGTAGAAAACTTGTTGAAATAAAGTCAGTTCAGTTGAATTTTTAGAGCAAAAGGAAATCAGGCATTCAGAGTGCCGTCTTTTAACAGTGAAAGGAGCTTTTATTCTTTTTATAAATATCATATTTTTTATGAGGTTTATAAATATACTTGGCAAAGAAGTTCCATCCAAATGTTAGCAATTTCATATCTTTCATTAAAAGGATATTGACCCAGTTGATTTGTAATTAATTACAGGCTTTTTTCCCATTAGCTTATCGATTGAAGAGCCTGCAGTGCATTCCTGACTGCATTATAAATTACAGCTGTTCTTCCAGGGTACATTTGGTTGCAGTTAATTCCAATTGTCTACATTTTTCACATTGTAAGAGTTACCTGCTCTACATCTTGCCAAAATATATCCCTTACAGTAGAGAACTACAGGTCCTTTGTTTTTGTAGATCCGCTTCTATTAGTGATAAATCCAATTTTCTGCTTATTCAGATTTAAGAATGCAACAGTGACAACCAAAATTGCCTTCATTCTCATGCTCTCAAAAAAGGCCTCAGACAAAACTCGTGAAACCTTCTGGAAGTTTTCCATTGATTTCAGAGAGCTTTGAATCAATCTGGTTCAAACCCAACTGAGTAGGTTGTTGCAAAAATAGGCTTGAAGACCATACTTTAAAAAAAACCCCACACCTTCAAATCATTATTAAAAAAAAAATCCTTTACTGGAAGCTCAATAAACCAAACAACAGTATAAAAATTATTTAGATAAAATAAAAACATCTAGGAAAGGGGCAAATTCCAATTGTGTTCAAAAAGATGGAGGCATTAGAAAAAAGTATTCATATAAATTTGTTTCTCAGTAAAGGCAGTTTCTCTTACTAAAAATCCCAACCAAACAAAACTTGTGTTTTAGTAGCACTTACCTGAATTCACGGTAGTAGAGTTCAGTAACATGCATCACATCTCATGTAATCCACAACCTGGACCATCTTTAGTGCCTATACAAAAGAGAAACCAGACCAAAAAAACAGAACCAGTAAGAAATTAAATAGAATTAAAAGTAATTTAGTCTAGATTGTGGCAGGAGAGAACAGTATCACACCCTAAATTTTGTTTGAGGATCAAGCCAAGAACAGCTCTCATTGCAAAAAGTAAAGCTTTTCTTTTTCTGTTCCAGGAGGTGCAGTTCTGCGTGCTGGTTGTAGGCACAGATGTGTGTCCTAAGCAGCACTTCTGCCAAGCTCAATCTCAGCAGCCCATAATTCCAAAATGATGCCCAAAATGCATCTTCTTGGCACTACAAACTCAACATCCTGAAAATGAAAGGAATTCTAAAGTACCTGAATTAGTGACATGTTCAAGTAATTACCAAGAGGAAACATCTCTTGGAACACTGGAATTATGATCCATTCTGGCAAACACTGAAGCACTGTATTTCCACCAAAAACAGGAAGGCTTCTGAGGCCAGTCACATTTTAAAGGTTCATCTTCTCTCGCTTGATCTTCACAGCAGGATTTCTACTAAAAACCCAACTATAGGGGAGAAACTGATGTCTTGCTTTTATAGAAAGGTTTTCCAACAAATGAGAATTAAACTGGAGAGGATAAACCCATTCCAGCTGAAAAAAGCCTGCCACACAGAGGGCTTCTGTGCCAGCACAGGCTAAACCAATTCCTAAACCAGAACACAGTTCAACAACAGAGAGTTGTTTTACATTTCTTTCAGAGTCTTTGCCAACAGAGCAGTATCAATTTAAAGGCTCAGCTGCTTTGCTTCCTGGGCAGCACAGGTACAGGAAAACTGCTCAGCCTGGGCACTACTGCAGGAGCAGGGACAGGGTCCCCAATGTGCAAATTCCTTTTGAGCTGACAAAGTTGCCCTTGCACCATGAGCACAGTCAGGACCATTCACTGCTCACTCCTGCCAAGCAAACACACGCAGCACAACCAGAAAAAATTGCATCTGCTCACACAAATCTGCCTGACAGGGATCAAACTCCCCATCAAACCTGGTTTGACACAGTCCTGCCAGCAAACATCTGTAGCAGAGACATGGCCTAAAAGTCACTGCTTTAAAGGGAAAGGCCACCAGCTGAGCCTTGCTTTCTCTTTGATCTTTCTGAATGCTTATATCAAAGCAATCCAAAGGGCCTCAGCTGAAGGGGTTGGTGCTGTACTGAAAAGGCAAAACCAGAAACACAAGAGGAGGTGAGGGATGAAGTACACACACACCCCGAGCACCCCAAGCCCCCCAGAAATAAAGGGGGTTTTGGCAGTATTAACTTTATTTGTGGGGGCCTGTCACTGGCTATCTAAAGACCAACCATGCTGCTTATATAAGACCCAGAATGTCTGAAGGCATCTGGCCAGGGATTTCATGTCCATATGTGCAACCAAATCATTAATTAAATAACTTATTTTTTCTTCTGCCACTCATGAAATTTCTTTGAGAATGGTATCAGTTAAAATGTTTGCACAGATGGCAGCTTCTAACAGCAAAGACTGAATACCACATACTGCAGACACACAATGTAAAACTACCATGACACTGCATTATTTCGATCTATGCACCTAATTGTTTCAAGCTCTTGAAAAATGTTAACTCTTTAAACCGTAATTTATGAATGGTCTCAGAGTAATCTGTGGCTGCAGCCAGCACAAAGTCATTGATCAGGCTGGATCCATTCACCCTGTTTGGACAGAGGCTAACAAGCTGTGTGATGGGCTGCTGTGCAGGTTCTCTGTTCCCAGGTGGAAA